TCCCACCCCCCCCCTTTATTTAAAAATTCATTTTATTAATTTCATTTTTTTGTTTACTAATTTTTGTTTTAAATTATTAATATTCATAATTTTAAAAATCGAAAATTTGTAAATGAAAATAATAAATTTAAAAATTATAATAATTAATTAATATTAACCATTTTTTTTTCTATTATAATAATATAAAAATTGCAAATATAAAAAAAAAATAATAATTTTTTAATTTTAATAATAATTTTACGAATAATTATTTTAAATGATAAAAATTTGTTTTTTTTTTAATGATAATTTAATTTAGAAAAAAAATTTTCTGGTAATTTAGGAATAATTTATGTAAAAATAAAAATTTTTTTAATTTCGTTTTGAAAATCTTTTAAAGAAATTTTTTTAAATAATTTTTTTTAACTATATTTTTTTTATTTAATTTTGTCCTATAAATTTTTTTTTTCATCAATATTTATTGAATTACTTTTTTAAATAATTGAAATTTTGTAATTTGAAGTTTAAAAAAAATGCAAAAAAAAAAAACAAAAATTTGTTTCTCATTGAAGGAAGCTAGGTGTCGATAATTGATCCAGTGGCTCGAGGGGTTACCCCTCCGCCCCTGGCTCGAATCCATTACGCAGCAAGAGAGACAGAGAAAGATGATGAGAAAGACGCGCGCACACGCTCTTCTCCATTATTTTTCTTTTGTTTTTCTCTCTTTACCTTGTCATATTTTTTTTTTCTATTTTTTTTTTTTTGTTGTTTGAAATATTCCATCCGGGCCCTTTATTATTCGCCTTCGTCCCTGCAATATTTTTTTATTGCATCACTTTATTGAGCATAAAGAGAATTGAAGGCAAAATGTAAAATTCAATATTATTTTTTTTCCGTTTCTTACTTTTATTATCAAATATTTTTCGCATTCAAAAAAAAGTCAAAAAAAACAAAAAAATTCATTAGAAAAAGGGATAAAATAAATTTTTTTTGGAATTTAAAAAATTTTTATTGACTATAAGAATGATAGTTCTGTCGGTAAAAAAGGACATTTCAGGAGGGAAAAAAAAAGTTCGCAGGAAAATCAGGAAGTGTTTCGTATGAGTTGAAGGTGAATTCCAGTCGTGCGCGCGATCTCAAAAAGAGAAAAGCAAAAAAAAAAAAAAAAAACTTATGAAGAAGATGAAAAAGAAATCGAGAAAGAAAGAGAAAAAGAAACGTAAAGAGTTAAAACAACAAAAAAAAAGAGAATAAAGGAAGGCAAAGAAAAACGTCTTGCCTCCCAAGTTTCTTCTCTCTGTCTCTCTTTCTCTCTCACTCTGTCTCTCTTTGCCTAAAAGTTGACCTCGACTTTCAAGGGTAGAGAAGGGTTCGGTTCGTCCCCCTCCACTAACTTCGACATTGGCAGTAACCGTTTCTCTCTCCCTTTTCCCCACAACCCCCCCCCCCCCCTCTCCCACCGCTCGGCCATCCAAAGATCAGGGAATTCACCAGAATTTAAATTCGTGTAATTTTACCGCGAATCATGTCCAACTTCTATGGTAATTTTTCACACATGAAATGTGTGAAAACTGTTCTACAAATTTTTTTTCTCTACATTTTTTTTTTATTCTATAAATGTTTTTCTTTGTAAAAATTTTTTTTTTTTTTTTTTAATTAATATTTTATAATTATTAATTAAAAAGTATTTTTTTTTAAATTAAAATTATTAAAAAAAAAAATAATTTTCTAATAAAAGTTAAAAAAAAAATAGGAATTTAAAATAAATATAAAAAAAGGAATTTGTATTAAAGCAATAATTGAAAAATTGTAATTTTTTTTTTCTAAATTTACTGTTAACTAATTTTATTTTTTTGTGATATTAATATTTTCCATATGCTGTTTGTCATCACAGAAAAATTAAATAAAAAACAGAACGAATAAATTATATCTAGAAAAAAATAATAAATATACAAAATAATTGTTATTAATGTATTAAAAGAGTAGACATTTTTTTTTATTCTTTAAGCTGATTTAGATGAATTAAATTTGATTAAATTAAATAAAAATTATTTTTAAGGTTAGGGTAGAATCTTGTGAATTGGCAACACTGACAAGTTCCAACTGTGTAACAAAAACCTATAGCTAATGGCGCCAAAATTTAAAGTTGTTGAAATATAATGACTATTTTATTATTATTATTATTATTATTATTATTATTATTATTATTATTATTATTATTATATTATATTATATTATTATTTTTGCGAATGGTCAAGTGGAAATCTTCTACACCACGGATATTATAATATTATATATATTATGTCATTATTATTATTATTATTATTATTATTATTATTATTATTATTATAATGTTAATTTTTAATAAAATTTAAAAAAATAATTTTTAATTTACAAACTAACGAAAAAAAATCAGAGTCATAGAATTTATAAATTTTTGACTTCAATTTCTAGAATAAAAGTAACAATTTTCATTGTTTGTGGAACGAACAAAGGAAAAAGGGAGAAAAAAAATTCACCCTTCAGAAATTGTGAAAAAGATAATAAATTCGAGATATTTTTTTTTTCTTTCCATACACAATGAAGTTTTAATTTTTTTTTTTTTGTCTCTACTTCATGTAAAGAGAAATTTTGTAAATTTTTTTTAAATAGAAATTTTGGATTTTTTTTGTTACACCCATAAATAGAAGTAGAATTAAAAAAAAATTTTTTTTTGTTCGGCACCCCATTACCCAATATTTCTGTAAATTGGGCTTTGGGTCAACCTGAAATGCCAGGAATTTATTCAGGTATACTTGTAGAGCTCTGACCTAATATTATTGTGCCAGAGAAAACGATTTGAAAAAAAGGGAACCATTTAAATTTTCAGTGTTGAATTCTTGTATTTTACATTTTAGGGGAAAGAAAACGGTTTTTTTTTCTAAATTTAGGAAAAATTTTCTTTTATTTTTTTTTTTTAAATAGTTAATGATCGTGAATTTTTTTTTCGAAAGTAGTAATAATTGATATCATTTCTTTTTCAATTAAAAAATATTTTTGTAATTAATTTATAATATAAAATAATATATATAATATATAATATAAAATAATATATATATATATATATATATATATATATATATATATATATATTATAATATATTTTATATAATAATAATAATTATTATTATTAATTTATAATATTGTATAGCAATTATTATTATATCTCTATTTAAATATTATTAAAACTATTATTTTTACGGTTAATATTTTTATTTGTTTCAAATAAAAAATTTTACTTGTGTCAAATATAATTTTATTTGTTAGAAAAAAAAATTTTTATTTGTCACGAATAAATTTTTTATTTGAAACAAATAAATAGTTCTTTAGCTTTGCGACAAATTTTTTTTTTTTGATTTAAATAAAAGTTTTTAGAAAATTTCTCTAATGAGTGTATTATTTAATTCAATTCATTTATGTATTTTTTGTTCTTTTTTTTTGTGTCGAGAGAAATTTTTAAATAACAAGTTATTTTTTATTTTAGTATCAAACAGATGCTCAGCGTCAGTTTATTTTTGGGTGTCTGAATTTTTCGTTAAAATAAAATATTTTATCATAAGATAAAATAAAAGAAAAATTACTAAATATACCTATTTCTATATTTAATCATTTTTTTAATCTATTATAAAATTGATTTATTCCAATTATGTATACGAGTAAATATTTTCCGTTACATATACCAATAGTTTGAGAATTTAATGATTTTCGTTTAAATATGTAACATGTAAAAAAAATTATTTATTTTTTTATTTATAAGCCCTTTTGTACGATTTAAAAAATAAATAAAGAATATAATTAATACGAAAAATAAAATAATTAAAATACTGAAAAAAATAATAAAAATTAATTGATAATTAAAATTTTGAAAAAAAAAATAATTTGATTCAAATAATCGTTTACTTGACTATTATCAAATAAAAATTATTTGGTTTAAGTAAATATTTATTTGATAATAAAATAACCGATTTTTTGAATCAAATAATTTTTTTTTTTTAGTTTTGAGAAAAAAAATCAAAAACAAAATTACAGTAAGACATACCAAAAATTAACAAATTAATTCATAAATAAAAAATAACAAAAAACACTAATAAATAAAACTTAAAAATAGTAATTAAAAATTTAATTTAAATAAAATAAATAATTCGTACTTGTGCATATTGCAAAGTCAGAGTTAAAACTAAATATTGATTTGTTACAATAATTATTCGAATAGGAAAGAAAACAAAAATATAAGAAACCGAGAATAAATACAACGAGAAATATTACTTTGTTAAATTGTTAGAAACATAATTTTAAAATCATTTTTAGAATTTAACTAATTCATTATTATAAGAATTAATTAAATTTTGCTGTAGCAAAAAAGAAAAAAAAAATTAGAGAAAAAAATTTTTGCTGATTCAAAAGAATTATTTGTTACAATTTCGATAATTATTAAACGAATTCAATATTGTAACGTTAATTTTAATAATAATACAATGGGGAAAAAAAGATATAAAAAATGGAAAATGAAAGGGAAATTAACGAAAGTCCCAGGGAAATTAGACCCCTCTTTTTCTCTCTCTCTCTCTCTCTTCTTTCGGTGTAACTCGTTATATTCTCCAGGTCCCATTACCGTTTCTGAAGGGAATATATAACCGATTTCGAAGGCTCGAACATTCGCGAAACGAAACGGAAGGAAAGGCGCTGTTGCCTCGTTTCCCTCGTGCAGCGCTCCCGCCATCTCTTTCCATCACCTGCCACGCGTCCCATTGGTCGTTCGACTCGGGCTATTCTTTGTGAACGGGCGGGTGAAAGCCCAGCATGGCAACGTTGTATATACCGCGTCCGCTGGAAGGAAGGCCGGGGCTGAGAGTGAGCGCGAGCGAGAAAGAGAGAGAGAGAGAAAGAACAAACGAAAAAGTGCGTCCCAAGTGGGGAGGGAGAAGGGTAACACACCAGAGTTTCCGTGCTTGCCAAAGAGAGGGGAAGGCAGTTGATTCTCATGACAAGGGGGGAGAGGGAGAGAAAGAGAGGAAGAACAGTGTGCAAAGCAGGAGAAACAGTCTTGTGTTCGTTACTCGTTTTTCAACCACACATCGTAACAGAAAAAAATTTTCGCGTAGTGTAAAAAAGAAAAAACTATTTTTTATAAAATTATATATTAAAAAAAAAAAAAGGAATAGAAAAGACGCGGAGCGCCCTCACAGCTGTAAAACGACAAAATAGAGGGCGAGTGAGGCGATTGTCTCTCATTGTGAAAGATAGGTGGAAGGGGAACACATGAGTGTGAGAGAGAAAGAAAGATGGAGAGTGGCCTCCCCTACCCACCCGCCTCTGGCCCTCCGAACTACCCACGGATCTAACGAACGTTGAGCAGCGTAGCGTCTAGATCGCATCCCAAGTAGCGTGTTAGTTTTCTTCTCCCGCGCGCGTTTTTCGTGAAATAGAAAAAATTGTGATAAAAGTGCTTTGTGTTTGAAAATTGTGTTTTTCCCGTATCACGAAACACATGCGAGAAACACGCGGATGTGTGCCGAAATAGTTGTGTGTGTTTTTTTGGTGTGTGTGTGTGGGCACGTTTGAAACGTGCGTTCCTTCGTTTCCTGCCCCCACCCCCCATAACCCCCCTCTAACCCCTCTCGTGACGCCTGCGAGAGAGAGTGACAGACGAAGATAGGAACGCGTGTGACATGTCGGAACACCACCGCGTTGCCGGTGGCTGGGGCAACAGCCCCGGGAACAATCGTGAGGAAGCTTCCGGTGGTTCGGCCGCGGCAGCAGCAGCTGCATGGTGGCCTGGACTCAGTGATCCACAGCAACAACAAAATCTTCATCAACATTTATTAAATCAACAACAACAGCTATCACAACAACAGCAGCAGCAACAACAACAACAACAGCAGCAACATCATCAGGATATTGTGAGTAGTACGGCGGCGGCTGCTGCAACACAGCAACTCTTCTCCTACAAGATGGCCTCCAGTTTTCAAAACCCCGCTACCACTGGCAGTTTGTCCAACTCGGTGTCCACCTCAACCCCGGCGGCGGGTTCCTGTATGAAGAGCGGTGGCGGCGGTGGTTATGACTATAGCAGACTTGGGGCACCCGGCAACGTACCGGTTAGCGCATCCTCGGCGCCACCCGGCGTTCAGTGGTGGTATTCAGGTGGAGTCATGGACGCTACGACTCAGAATAATATGCATCAACAACAATTGCAACAGGGACAACAGCACAACATACCCATTACCACGCAAACCTCAACAATTCCGGTTATGCCACCGGTAGGTTCGGGGAACGCGTGGCTTTTGGTGAGGATTCGGGGATTTCTTCTCTGGAAGATTTTATACACTTTTTTTTATTTATATCATTTTTTTTCTTTCATCATTTCATAAATTCGTTTTTGTTTTTTTTTTTTCGTTTATTTAAACACACTGATGGCTTCTGAATGAAAAATTTTGTGAAAAAATGTCGTTATTTCGTTATATGAAAAGTGATTAGTGTAATTTTTTGTGCTGATGAGATTTGTGAAATTTTTTTTTTTTTTTTTTTAATATAAATGGAAGTAATTTGTGATGGTATTGCATGGCAACGTGGAAAATAATAAATTAGCTGGAGATGCTAACAAATTTTTGTTGAAAAAAAAAAAAATTTCTGTATGATATTCTCTAAATTTGAATTAGTAAAAATTTTGACTAATTTGAATTAGTGACTCACTTATTGCTTTTGAATTAGTTACATTTTACTAATTCGATAGTACCAAATATTTTACTATCGAATTAGTAAAATTTAATTTGAATTAATGCAAATTTTAACTAATTCGATAGTAACAAATTTTTTACTATCGAATTAGTAAAATTTAATTTTGAATCAGTGTAAATTTCAACTAATTTGAATCAGTAACTGAATTTTTGACAAAAAAAAAAAAAAAAAATTAGTAAAATTTTACTAATTCTACTCTCTAAATCTGAATTAGTAAAAATGTTTACTAATTTAAATTAGTGAATCACTTTTTTCTTCTGAATTAGTAAAATTTTAGTTAGTAAAAGTTACTAATTAGTAAAATTTTACTAATTCAGAAGCAAAAAGTGATTCACTACTTCAAATTAGTAAACATTTTTACTAATTCAGATTTAGATAGTAGAATTAGTAAAATTTTACTAATTTCTTTTTTGGGCAAAAATTTAGTCACTGAGTCAAATAACTAATTAATAGTAGAAAACAATTTATAATGTTTACTAATTAAATATAGTAACCTTACTAAATGAATTAGTAGTGTTCTACTAACAGTTAGTCATTTTTTTTTTTTTACTAAGAATTAGTCAAAATGGTTACTAATTAATTTAATGAACAGTTGATTTAGTCAAAAGTGATTAATTCAGATTTAGAGAATAGAAAATGTTTGCTTTAATTGCATCCATTAAAATTTTATTTGTTTCAAATACAGAAATTATTTGTTTAAATACAGTTTATTTGATAAAAATCAAATTATTTATTTGATGCAAATAAATATTTATTCGATACAAATGAATTATTTTTTACATTTTCATCATAAATGAAAAAGTAAATTTTAATAGGTAATCAAGTATAATCAGTTACTTGAATCAAGTAAATTTTGTTTGTTCACTAAAAGTGACATAACCTTAAACTAAAAATTACCTCTGAATAGTACACGTAACGTTAATGATTAACAATTTAGAAGAAAAATTATTCTTATTTCTACTTTTGATTGTTGATTAAATCAATTTTAAGTTTGAGGTTATGTTAAGGGGTTGAACCTTTCTAATATTTATATGCAATATTGACATGCAATTCTGTGACAAATTTCGTGCAAGAAATTTTGTTATCTACTCTCTAAATTTAAATTAGTGAAAAATGAGCTACTAATTCACATTAGTAAGAATTTTTACTTATTTTTTAGTAAAAAAATTACTAATTGATTTAGTTTTTAAAAATTTTTTTTACTAAAGTTTTTAGTAAAAAGTGACTAAAAATTAGTGAAAATTCTTACTAATTTAAATTAGTAGCTCAATTTTCACTAATTCTTAATTTATACGAAGATTTAGGAAAAAATGGAAATATTTATTATTATGGGAGATTATTATTATTATTATCATCTCTCTATTATTTTTAAACAAAATTGGGTTTAAAAAATGTTTTAGATGAAATAATTTTTTTTTTATTATTATTTTTACTTACGTGAGTAATGTTTTTTTCTATTTCTTGTCGCGAATATCAAGTTTTCATTTAGAAGCCATCAAATAAGTACATAATTCACTAATATTGACAAATATTTTTCACCTTACTGATTATAGTTACACCTCTTATCTTCAATTGTTGACAAACATAATCAAAACAAAATCGTTACATCATTTTCGATATACTGTCCATTAAATAACATTTTTTTTTTAAAGTGAAATAAATTTATATAAATTTACAAATAAAATACAATTATTTTTATTAATAATTTTTATGGTAAACAATATTTGAATACATAACCTAATATAACATTTGTCCCATACAAATATAATGAAATTCTGATATTTAGAAAATTTAATTTTTTTGAATTTGACTCGTGCATTAAGAAAAAATTTTTTTATTGTTAAATCAATTTTATTTGGCTCAATAATAAATTTTTTTTTTGGTCGAAAAATTTTATTAAAATAAACCAAACGTTTATTTAGAAGAAATAAATTTTTAGCTAGACTAAATAAATATTTATTTAAATCAAATAAATTTTGTTTGAACAAAAAAAAAATTGTGTTAATACAGAAAAAAATGGTATATTTTGTACAAAATATTTTTCTAAGTGTACAATTTATATTATTTTTTCATAAATAACGAATATAGATTGTTATTTAAATTTTAAATTTATTTTAACATCACAATTGAAGTAATATTTATTATTGAATTAAAAATATTTTTTTTCGTCATTTTTTTATTTTATATTTTTACTATACCATTATGTAATTTTAAATATTTACAATTGATGTGAGTAAAAAAAAGTTTTATTTAAACAAGAAAAAAAAAATACTTTCAATAATTTTATTTCAGAAGCAAATATTTTTTTAACAATGTTATATGTATATTTAACTTTGATTTTAAAGCCAAAAGTTTGGAATTTTATATACATTTAAAAGTTATGCTCGTTTGATGATTAAAGTTTCTAACAATATACGGTAATAAAAAAAAAAAAAAAAAAAAAAAATTCTATACATAAAGTAGTGTCTCCAAGGATTAAAATAATGATTGTCCTGAATACTCTCGTATATTTTCTATATAAGCAAAACATTGACAACTTTAAATTTCTTTTTTTTTTGTTGAAAATTGATTTCTCAAGTTATTTATTCTAAATATCAGAATTCTATTTTCTCTTCGGAATTTAAAAATTATTTTGGTATAAAATTTTTTATTATATTTAAATTAAAACAAAAAGATTCAGTATATAAATTTTAATCAGTTTGAATTCGTTCACTAATTTAAATTAGTAGAAATTTTTGCTAATTTTTAGTAAAGTATTACTATTTGATTTAGTAATATTTTTTATACTCAAGTTTTAGTGAAAAATTACTAAAAGTTAGTGTAAATACTAAAATTACTAATTTTTAGTAAAATATTACTATTTAATTTAGTAATATTTTATTTTACTAAAGTTTTAGTACAAAAAAAAAACCTAAAAATTAGTGGAAATTTTTACTAATTTTTAGTAAAATATTACTATTTGATTTAGTAATATATTTTTTTTACTAAAGTTTTTGTGAAAAATGACTAAAAATTAGTAAAAAAAATTTTGATTAATTTAAATTAGTTAACGAATTTTTACTAATTCAAATTTAGAGATTATACAAACTCTGTTTTGAGCTACAAATATAATAATAAAATAAATATAAACTGTAATGTGAAAATATTTGTCACAGTTTAATTTTTAACAAATACATTTATAATTTTTGTCATTCATCATTATTTATCACAATACTTTTTAAATACAGAGTTACTAGAAAAAAAAAAAAATTCTGGCACATTACAAATAACGAATCCTTGTAATATTTTTGAATTCTCTGCAAAATTTTAGCTCAATCTATTAAGTATTTTGCGAGAAAATCTACGAAAAATATTTTTCATGTGAAATAAAAATAATCACATGATCTTAATGGAAAATAAATCAAAATTTTATTGGCTCTACTACTCAAATAAAACAAAAAAAAAAAAAAATAGAGAAAGAGAAAGAAATTTGAAAAGCACAGCTAATAGAATTTCTATAGACGAATTCATGAAAAATAAATAATATGAGACGCGAAAAATGAAAATAATTCTAATTTTTTGAATACTTATAATTATCGTTAAAAATAAAGTAAATCAATAATTAGAATCCTTCCCCAAAAAAAGCGTGTCCATTTTAAATATTCCACAAAAATTTTGTAATACAATTTTTTAAACTAGAAAAAGTATTAGGAAAATATTTAAATTTCGTTTTATTAAAAAAAAAAAAAACGAAATTGAAGTACGCAACATTTATGATAAACAATTTTTAAAATGAAAAATTCTATATTTTTTTGATTAGAAAATATTTTTTTTTATAATTTGTTGATTAATAAAAACTACAAGAAATATTTTTCATACGAAAAATTATAGTTTTTCATTTTAAAAAATTATTTCTTTAAAAATCGTTTATCATAAACGTTGCATACTTCAGCTTCGTAAAAAAAAATCTATTTTTACAAAATAGTTTTACTTTATTTTTTAATTACTATTTTTATTGAAATATTTCCAATTTTCGATATTTTTTCCTTATTTTTATTTGTGTATTTTTTACAATATATATTTTTTTTTTTAAATTTAATTATAAGTTATTGGAGTTACACAGTGGAAAATAGATTTCCGGTAGTTTAGTTTTTTTCTTCATTATTGAAACGGTTTTTTTTTTTTTTTTTTAAATTTTGTCAAATTGCAATTTGCTGTAATTTATATTTGTCCAAATAGCGATTTGGCCTTGAAATTATTTATTTTGAATATTTGTTTTTTAAATTTTAACTATTTTTTTTATAGTAATGATAATAGGTTTGTTTTTCCTATTATTATTAATAAAAAAATAATATTAATAAAACAATTAAAAAAAACGATGCTGAAGTTTATAACGTTTATAATCAACGATTTTTAAAGAAATATTTTTTTAAAAAATATTTTGATTTTCCATTTCAAAAATATTTATTGTAATGTTTATTGATTAATAAATTATATTTTTTAAATTTTCTATCTTAAAAAATAATTTGTTTTTTAAATCGTTGCGATTATAAATGTTTGTAGACTTGAG